TCCTGAAACAGTATAAAAAAAAATAGGGGCTGTGTGAATTAAGACCCCTCTCACTTCACAGCTTTCACTATACCTAGGTAACACTTACATGGATCACAAAACACTGCCCATTTTCAGCCTGACCTGCAAATCTCTTCCCAGCCGCAGAATAAAATAACATAACATTGGAATGACCATTTCAGCAATATTTTATGACCCCTCTAATCTGCAAGAAGTGGCTGTCGGATAACAAGCCCCAGTTAAGCTCCTCTTCTGGAGCATTTCCAGTTTAAGACAATCTGCCATGCAGCCTCTCTGGGCCCTCAGCAGCTGCACGGGGATTTTTTTTTTTTAGTACCATAAACTGCAGAACTCACACAGCCAGAACAGCAGGAAAATAAAAGTTACTGACCTGAGACTAACCCAGACAGGCAAGACATTAAAGTGTCAAACCCTAAACGCTGCAGAATGCAGGGGCTTGGTCTGGAGGACAAGAAGCAGCCATCAGCATTTGCCCAAGCACTGCCCTCAAAATGGGCTCCATCCATGTGGCTCACCAAAACCAGGCCCTACATATTCCAGAAGATGCAGACTCAGCTGCTTCTCCTCTCCTCCATGAGGAATGAAGGAGGGCACAGTTTCGTGAGAAGCTCAGTCCAATCTGACCCAGGCATTGCTAGGGCTGGAGACCACCTAGGGCTGGAGACCACCTAGGGCTGGTGATAACCACACATCACCTTGCTGGTCTGAGCCTCCAGAGCAGCACACCGGAGCCCTTTGCACTTAATGATTTGTTTGTTTAGATGAACAATATTTCCAACCTCTTGTAGTACCCAAAAGAGCTCACGTTTGAACCCTTCTGAGCAGGAGCTGGCCCAGGGTTGTTGGGCAGTGTGGGTCGCACACAGCTGGTTCCTGGGGTGCAGAGCAGCCCCAGCCACACCATCACAAGGCTTGGTGACCAGGCCAGGGCAGGTGACTGCAGAGCCACCACCAGCATGCCACAAGCCAGTGTAAAGGGGGAGTGAGCATTGGCAGGGACTGGGGCAAGAGAAAGGGCTACACAACAGCTCAGGTGGCCACCAGCCACAGCAGGTCCAGTAGATGGGGCAAGAGAAAGGGCTACACAACAGCTGAGGTGGCCATGAGCCACAGGAAGTCTGGTAGATGGGGCAGCAGGGAGGACAGTGAGGAGAGTGGGACTGGATACCAGTTTGGCGTGGGAGGGTGGGACAGGGGAGAGAAATCTCTGTTTCTGCTCATGTTCCACACCCTACAGTTGGGGCTGGCCATTACTAGTGTGTTTTCTATCAAGAGGGGGCACCGACTCCAGCCTGTGCCTCTGAGCAATTTGTGAGGTTTGGGATGGGTGTTCACCATGCCAAAGGGATGAGGTGGGCAGCCAAGGCAGGACTGAGGCTGAGGCGAGAAGCAGGGACTGAAGAAGGGAATTTGGTCCAGCTGGAGAAGAGGAAGAGAGCTTGGGCAGACTGCGAGAAAAGGGCTCGAGCAGCAGCCTTGCAGCAGCCACGCGTGGGATTAACTGCTATGAGACAGATCCCTTTCCCTGGGATGTTTCCCAACACCCTGCAAAAATACTGGGATAGTGACACAGCCTTCCTCTCGTCACACATGGGCTGCAAATGTCCAGCCCAGTGCCCACCAACATGGTACATGCATCCCTGTGGTGCCTACACAGCAACACAGATTCTTCCACTCCCAATGAGTCCAGAGAAGTTAAAGCATCCCCTGGCCCTCAGTTTTCACAGAATCATAGAATCGTTTAGGTTGGAAAAGACCTTTAAGATCATCAAGTCCAACCGTTAACCTAACGCTGCCATCCCACCACTAAACCATGTCCCTAAGCACCATGTCCACCTGTCTTTTAAATACCTCCAGGGATGGGGACTCCACCACTTCCCTGGGCAGCCCGTTCTAATGCTTGACAACCAGGTACCGCTGCCCTGCGCAGGCGTCGCCTTTCTGCACCCGCCTCTCCC